GGCCTGAGCCACCTAGCCGGCCCCTTGGGGTTTTGTTTAAATACCAACTCATGGGAGACGCCGGAGTCTCACCTCGGCAGCGGTCATTCAGGTATGGGTCCTCTTGTTCCTCCTGCACCTCAGTGATCTTATCTAAGGGGGAAAAAGACCAAGTCAAACATTTATCCAAACACCTATCTTATCTTAAAAGAAACTCCCAACATTCTCTCTTCTTGTCACTATCAGGCAGTAATGCCCATCTGAACATCTTACATAAACAGCTAAGTATTAACTTTATCCTCTTTAAGATAGAATTACACTTGTAAATGTATAATTGATCTCTGATCCATTATAGGCCAGGCGTGGTGGCTCATGCCTGTAATCCCAGCACTTTGGGAGGCCAAGGCGGGCGGATCACCTGAGGTCAGGAGTTCAAGACCATCATGGCCAATCCGGTGAAACCCTGTCTCTACTAAAAATACAAAAATTAGCCGAGTGTGGTGCCATGTGCCTGTAATCTCAGGTACTCAGGAGGCTCAGGCAGAAGAATCGCTTGAACCCAGGAGTTGGAGGTTGCAGCAAGTCAAGATCACACCATTGCACTCCAGCCTGGCCGACAAGAGCGAGACTCCGTTTCAAAAAAAAGGGATCAATTATAACAGAAAGAGCACAGACACAAAGGCCTGTAATCATTGACTTCATGCTGGGTGCTGTTGCCATAGTCCAAATTACTCGACCAGCTCAGCAAATGCAGTCACAGCCTTGCTATAACAATTAACACACGCCCTCCAAGTCTAAAGCGATGCACGCAGTAAAAACTTGTGTCTCCTGACTGATTCTATCAAATGCTATTATGTGTTTGTAAAGGGTTACTCTCCATTTCGGTACTTATTTGTCGCAGGCCAGCACCGGTCTGGGGACCTTCCGCATGGCCCCGAGGAAGCAAACAGTGGGTCCACGGCACAGGTAGCAGTGGGAGGAAGGTGCGGCTGTGAAGACAGGAAGCCCTCCCAGAGGAGGGAGCATGCGAGGAAAGTCTGGGGCAAGGACTGAAGCAGATAAAGGATGGAGAGATAAAGCAAACATCTGGAGCTGCAGAAAAGCCCAGAGATTGCTCACGCTGCAGACATAAATCAGTGAAAATCCGCCCCGGGACGCAGGAGAAATCCTCCTCTAGCACGAAAAGTTTGGGTTTGTTTAAAGTGAAAATGTCATCTCTGATTTCAAAACCCAAGGAAAGGAAGGAGGCAGAATGTGGCCCCAATCCCGCTTGATGACTGTGACATCTGAAATCCTCTCAGTGGCATCCATGGGGCCCTGGACTTGAAAAGCTAAGAACAAGAAGTGAAAGATGAGTCCCAGGTGACCCGGGTCTCCTGTGACCCGGGACCCTACAGCCTGGACTTGAAAAGCTAAGAACGAGAAGTGAAAGCTTCCCTGCGTCACCTGGGATCCTACAGCCATCAGCCTGACTTAGAGACTACAGGTCTGAGAGTTCTTCCCTTTCACCCCTTCAGGCACCGCCCCACCGCTTTATTTATTTTATTGTATTTATTTTTTTATTGTTTTGAGACTGAGTCTCGCTCTGTCACCCAGGCTGGAATGCAATGGTGCCACCTTGGCTCACTGCAACCTCCACCTCCCGGGTTCAAGCAATTCTCCCTGCCTCAGCCTCCCAAGTAGCAGGGATTACAGGTGCCTGCCACCACACCCAGCTAATTTTTGTATTTTTAGTAGAGACAGGGTTTATCCATGTTGGCTAGGCTGGTCTCAAACTCCTGACCTCAGGTGATTCGCCTGCCTCGGCCTCCCAAAGTGCTGGGATTACAGGCGTGAGCCACCGTGCCTGGCTTGCACCTCTTTATTTCGTAAGAGAGTGGGGGGAAAACTCAGAGAGAAGAGGGAATGGGCTGAAAACCACACAGCAAGCTTGGCCCAGGCAGAGTCCTGCCTTCTTCCAGGTTAATTCTGTTACAGCACGAAACCATGGCATAAGTGTAAGAGACTACTGGACAGCCACGAAGTCTCCTGAACCCTGTAACTGAACCACACAGAAATGCAGGGCGAGGACACAGAACTGGGGTTACACAGCTGAGAGTGATCTTGAAGCTGCTCTTGGGGTCACATGCCCCTTTGCTGAGTAAGTGTCTATGATTTGACAGAGTATAGCCAGCTATTAGCCAGCGATGGCCCCCAGCTGCTCGTTCATACGTCATCAGCTCCAGATGGAGAAGGCACTGGCCGGGAGGTGGAAGGCCAGGGTCTCCCTCCTCCACATGCTGGCCGTGTGATCTTGAGCATCAGACCCTCACCCAAAAAGTGAGAGCAAGGCCAGCCACCCACGCTGCCCCAGGCAGCTGAAGGGACAAGGGGAGATAGTGAGGGCAGACGCTTATGGGGCCAGGTGCTGCACTCAACCCTTGATACCTAATCTCACACTCCATCCTCCCAGTATCTGATGAAGTAGGACTGCAACCTGTCTCTTATACACATCTAGATGTGTATAAGAGACAGCTCACACTCCATCCTCCCAGTATCTGATGAAGTAGGACTGCAACTATCCCCACTTCCCAGATGAGGGGACGGAGGTGCACATTAGGACCAGGATGGGAGCACGGATTTGTCTGATCCCGGACTCCAAGCAAGCAGCGTCACTCCAGGATGGCGGCTCTCAGATAAGGTCACAAACACGAATGGCTCTGACAACTGGAGTCAGTCCATGCTGGGTTAAGGCAATGGTGACATGGATGCACATGTTACCTGTAATGGTTCATTTTAAGTGTCAATTTGGCTGGGGTATGGTCCCCATATGTTTAGTCAAACACTAGCCTGGACACTGCTGTGAAGCTATTTTTTAGAGATTAATATTGGCCAGGCACAATGGCTCACACCTGTAATCCTAGCACTTTG